AGTCGTACAAAGGCGAGACCGATTCGGCAGGCAATGGCTGGACTGTTGCCGGCTCCCATAGCTAGCCCATAGTAGGTCAGTAGCTCCGCGGTCTTAGGATGTAGGAGACCAAGGTACGGTCGGTCATAAAAGAACTTGGACAGGTCGACCACTGCTGAGTATCCTTCAGTGTACATTTGGTCCACAATGTGAGCAATCCTGGGCATGAAGACAGGGTCCTGCCCAACACAATCGTTCTGACCACCCCGTAGCATGTCGGCAATTACCCGCCATTGTCCCGGCTGGCCATCCTTCCCGACCACAAATAGAGGGGCATTGGTGAGGACGGTCAGCCCTTCATCGATGCTTCGGAGTACCCCAAGTTCAACAAGTTCGTCCACAAATTGGACAGCAGCCTCTAGCATTTCTTCATCCATTGGAGCGTTGGGTCGGAGGCAGGGATCTGGCTGTTTCAGGAAATTCTGGCGTGCCCCATTTCATAGTTCCTCCCAGTGCTCAGACGGGAACTCCCACCATAAAAGTTGAAGTCGTTTGGGGTCCGGTCCCTCCGAGTTGTAATTGTTCCGGTGGACGGCTGGTCGTTGGATGCCATCCCAGTAGATGTTGTGTGGTGCCGGATAATGGTCAGCGGTCCAGCGGAGGTTGGCGAGTCGTAGTGTGTGTCAGGGGCTACGCAAGGAAAGATCTGGGGGATGCCAATTGAACACATCGTTGTCAAGTGTGATGGTCGTTGCCCCGGACAAGTGGTTCCCGGTCTTTGGTCCCTGTGTCGTTTTCCCCGATGCAGAAGTTGGGTGGCTGAATAAATGTTGTAGCGAGAAAGACAGTGTTGGAGGTATTGATATGTTGAGCAATCATGTTGGTCGATTATTGATCAAGGGTCTATGTGACGTGACGCGGCAGTGACGTGAGTGTCGATCATGCGTAGTATGAAACGCAGTATGTCCGAACGAGTCATCACGTAGAAAGGTGATCAAGAATGAGAATCGTGAGAATTTGTAACATGATCTTGAACTTCAATCGAGAGTCTCACTATCGATTGAGTTCTGGCAAGAATAGTATTGTGGACGTTGAGGTCCAAACGAGTATAGGAGATAATATAGTAAGACCTTTGATTGAATAAGACTACTGCTTATTCCAGAGGCTGAGGCCCAGAGTCGCTGGTGCCCAAAGGCAGACCATAGCCGACGTAGATTCGATCTCAGGGATTGCTCATTGAAACAGACAGGGCGTTGAGGCACCCATTCAGGTCTGTAGAGCAAGTCCATCTGACACTCAATCGATAGTGAGAAAGTTTATAAAAGAGACAATGACGCGCCGCAACCAAAGTACAAGAGGAGTTCGCGGCGGCAATCGATTCGGTGGAAATCGCCAGACGAGTGGCAATTCACAGAATACAAAAAAGAAAGAAAAACGATCGCCCAAGTATCATCCGAGCGACCCAGATTTTCCTTATGCCGATGTAACAAGAAGCCTCATCGAACGGATTGGAATGGAGGGGTTGGAGTATCCTCAGATTATGATATCTTCCATCAAAGAATTGAATGAGCCAGACTGAGATGGTTTGAAACCCAAATTGGATTTAACCGGTCAAGAAGACAAAATTGAGAGAGAGGCAAAGAAGGAAGAATTGAAAACGGAGAGTGTCGAATATCACCGACAAAAGCGATACTGGAGCAAAGCGAAGTGGCATGTGCATTCGCTCATTATGGAATCATTTGTTACCAGTAAAATGAAGGACAAGATTCTGCAAGAGGTCGATTACAATGAGAAAATCGAGGGTGATCCTATTGAATTATTGAGACGCATCAATAAATTTATGACGACCAGTGATGTAACGGACTGGGAACCCATTACACTGTGGGAAGCACTATAGAAGTGGGTGAATTGTCGTCAGAAAGGAAATGAAACGGTGATTGAATACCGGAAACGATTTGAAGAATGCGCAACTACAGTATTATCTTTCATGGGTGATTTGTGGCTAGATGTGTTTGCCTTGAAAACGACCGCATATCATGAAATTGAAAACAATCACCCGACTAATGGCTTGTCGGATAAAGAAAAGAAGCGAGTTGCAGCAGAAGTCGAAGAACTTCAAGAAGAATTTCAGGACGAGTTTGTAAAGCTGTTCTGCGCTGCTGGATTGTTGCACAACTGTGATTGTGCGCGATACCAGCCGGTACTTGATCATTTTGTTACTGCATACGCTGTGGAGCACGTGGATTATGCTCAGCGAGATTTATTCCCGAGAGATGTGGAAACTGCAGCCAAGGCGCTACACAATCATCGGGTAAAGAAAACAACAACACCAAAACATAACAACAACAACAACACAAATGATAAAACGAACGCACCACAGAACGGTACCAACCTTGCGCAGGATTACAATAAGGGGAGTAAGCGTAAATGTTTTTGCTGTGGTAAGGCGGATCATGTTGCACCACGATGTGAACATCGATTCCGACCCAAGGAACAATGGAAAGATCCGACAAAGTGGAGATCGTATCCCAGGACCGAAACGGGACGCGAACAGGTGCACCTACAGACAAGCACCGAGGTGGGATCTGTGCAGTCAAGTGTTACAGCTAACACCGCAGGTACACCCGCCAACAATGATGGTGGGATTTCTCAGCAGAACCATATGCAGACTGGTTCGGCTGACAGGAGTGGTGGACCACAGCCTCGAAAGCAAAAGATTGGCATTCAGGGGTGGAATATGGCGCAGTTTGGCGGACGGAAGAGAGTACCGCAGCCTATTTTAAGACCTTCAAGATTTGGGGCGTCACCACCACACGACATAATGGCAAACTGGCAGGTACAATTGGATGCTGTCAGGGCAGCCGAAGAGGACATAAGTGTTGCAAGTACACAGAGCTCCAACGTACAGGTTGGCAGGGAAGTAGCTGTGATGCATTCCCAAGCTCATCGGGGACTCAGGTACAAGGATAGCGGCGATCTGGTATATCTTGATTCAAATGATTATAAGGATGGTAAGATTCCGGAGCATTTTGATACGCATGATCCGAAGTGGTTTCGTTCGGGCGCAACAGGTCCGTCCCTTGACACTGGTTCGACATTTCATCTTCGCAAAGATTCGATGAATGCGAAGATGGGAACATTGAAAGAGCTTCCGTATATGTTCAATTATGGAACAAATGTCGGAGGAGGAAGGAATCTCACGCATGAAGTTGAGAGTAAACACATGGATAATATGTGTAAGTATGACGCTGATGCCATCTGTGATGAGGACAGTGCGTCTTTATTGGTAAAAGAAGGGTATCGTATCGTGATGGATACCAACGTAGAAAATGCATTTTTTGTTTCAAAAGATGGGAATCAATGGATTTACAGAGAAAAGGATGGGTTGTATACTTATGACCCCTATGAGGGGGAGAGTCATTGCAATGTTTGCATGGAAATTGGACCGACAGGTGAAGCCTGCAGGTCGTGCAGGGCCCACGGTGGTTTCGTGCCGGGTGAATCGTATCATGGCGGCATCGATAATACAACTAGTCAACATACTTCTCGTTACTCTGGTCTCCAAACTGTAAAAAAGAACATAGAGGGTTACACCCCACGACAAGTTGACCGAGCAAACGCTGCAAGATCCGGGTATCACATGGGTGGTGCACCAGGGATCGAAGCATTCAAAGTTGCTGTACGCTCAGGTTTATTCAAGAATTGTCCCATCAGAGAAGAAGACATTGTTATTGCTGACAAGATTTATGGACCAAGCGCTTCAGTTCTTAAAGGAAAGACTAAGCGTCCTACCCCGGAAGCCGTCCGGGATGATTGGGTTGAGATCCCGCGTGAATTGTTGGTCCACAACATTGATTTGAATTTGCACCTCGATATTGCATTCATCAATAACACATTCGGATTGACTACAATTGATGGTAGTGTCCGATTCCGCACTTTTGTACCGCTGCGTAGCAGGACCGCGGAGTCGTTGTATGACGCAATCGATCACGTGTTGCGCATTTACAACCATGCTGATTTTACTATCAAGACTATCTACTGTGATGGTGAATTTCGACCAGTTTTTGATGATGTCAAAGATGAGATGAATGTTGATATGAATTATGCGAGCCGGGGGGAACACGATCCCACGGCGGAACGAAACAACCAACATATCAAGGCGTTGTTCCGTGTCCAATACCATCACATGCCGTATAAGGCCATTCTGAGGATTATTACTGAAGCTATTGCCAAACGAGTTGCACAGACTTCCAACTTTTACCCCGCCAAAGGGGGTATTTCGGCTTATTACAGTCCTCATATGATTTTGTTGCGACGCCAAGTTGATTACTCGAAAGAATTTGTTGCTGAACTTGGGTCGTATGTCCATGGTTTTGGACATGATACTCGCAGTGATCATCGGTCACGCACTATTGAAGCGATTTACTTGGGACCAGCTGATAATATGCAAAAGGGTCACAAGCTGTATGATTTGAACACAAAAAGAGAGGTAACTAGACCTCGAATTACGGTGCTCCCAATCACTGATCAAGTGATCAAATTGGTTGAAGCCCATGCTGCTGAGGAAGGCGTTACAGATTTACGAACCTATTCCAGACGCAATGGAGAAATAATTTTGGATGCTGATCTGCTCGCAGGAGTGGACCCAGATAATAATAATAATAAATCTGATGCATTAATCATGTTAAAACTATCTCAAGTTTCTAGATTGCCGTTAACGGCTGTCATGGCCATTTACCATACGGAGGTGAGTCCAGTACTGTTGAACCAGTTTGA